GGGGGCGGCGTGGGCGCCCGCCCCAGGGCAGCGCGCGCGGTGGGCGTGAGGGGGCAGGTGCGGTCGCGGAGGTAGTTGACCCAGCCTCGCAGAAGCCTGGGCACGGGCCTGAGGGGTGGGGGGGCTGCAGGCGCCTGGAGGGACCCCGGCCGGGGGAAGGGGAGCGAATGGACCCCGCTTCACGCTGGTGAAGAATTGTCAGCTCTCCTGGGGGACGCTCTGGGGCTCTGAAATACTATTATCATCCTGGGTGGCGGCGGTGATGGCTGTGAGTGTGCTGCGTTGCATTTGGTGGTGGGGCGGGGGGAGCGGTACGTTTCTGCTCCAGGTGGAGCTCCGTAGCATCTCAGAATCACCCCAGAAATCCCGGCTCGCGGGGTTTACGGTGGGAGGCCAGAAAGGGATGCGATGTGGATCCATCAAAACGCCGAGAGTACCGTGCATGTGGGTTTATCTGTTTCTGCTTGAAGTTTTCAACGCCAAATACAGATCAAGAAAACAAGGAGTATCTGAATTTGGGGGTAGGGGTGTCGCCTCGCAGTGTTGTAGCTCTAAATAACGTGAGGCAGAATTTCTTGGTGATACTGATTAAAATTATCAGAAGTTCTAGTTAAATTGTGTAAATCCGTTTTAAAACTGCATTTTGGTTTATCTGATGTTTAGCAGTCTAAAAATTGAGAAGCCTAATTGATTTGCTTGATGTTTCCCAGGAATCACCAAAAGCAGGGAAAAGTGGAAAAAGTTCAAAAGAAGGACAAGACCTAATAGAATCAGAGGTAACTGCTCTCATATATTACCTTTCCGGTTTTTTTTTTCATGAACACCTTTTAACTAAGGGCAGAAAAACAGCGTGGTGAAAACCAGGCTCTTCTAGAATGTTTCCCTGCATGATATTTTCTCCGAGTCTCCTTCACAACCTGAAATTTTAGTTCTTTAGGTTTTTATTATTTCAGTCTGGGAAAATACAGATGTGTTTATGGAAGTTGTGTCTGTGCAGCTGGTAATTTTAAGTTCATAACAACCCCCCCCCCCCCCCCCCCCCCGCCCAATCTCAAATCTAGCCGCCCTCCTGTAGAGACTGGTTTCACCACAGTTGTTCATGCTCCTTCTAGCTTTCAGATCCTTCCTTCCTTGGCAAGCCAGCGGCCAGGTCAGGTCCCTCCCTCTCAGTGGCTCCTCCTTCTATCACCTCTGCTTGCCTGGCGCTGTCTTTGCTGCTTGGGTCTCACACTAGCTCCTTTGCTGATGTCTGATTCCCACAGCCTCTTTCCCCAGGGGTGTTGGTACCTCTCAGTTTAGCTAGTTTGGGTATTTTTATACAATCTTCTATCATCGTTCACTTGTTTTTTCTCTGCGTTGGCCAGTTCTGACGACTTTTGCTTCTCAACTTTGGGCTCTTGAAGAACAGCCGGAAGGCTCCGTGAGGACGGGGTCTACCTGGTGGGGTTGATGGCGTTCCTTGGCACAGTTGTGCTTTGAGAATGTTTGCAGTTGCCAGCACTTTGCCTTTTCGTCCTTGTGAGTAGTTGAACTAGAGCCCCGCAGGCTAGGGATTCAGGAGCTGTCTGGACCCAGGCTGAGCTAATAGTAGGCCCTTTTGGATCATTGGTTGCCGAGAAGCAACTTGATTGCAGTGTCACGTTCTCCAGAGCTGGATCATCCAGGTCCCCAGTCTTATCACAGATGACATTAATTTCCAAGTGTCAGACCCCTTCCTGTAAGTCAAATTAGAATGAGTTCAGTGTTGTCTGGGGAAACACAGTTAACTGGTGATTATAGGCAGTAGCCTTTTTTTTTTTTTTTTAAGCCCTGGGGGGGGGATATCTTTTCCTTATCATTTGGTGCATTCTAAGCCTCCCTTCTCTTCAGCAGGTGGTTTGTTCCAGCAGATATGTTGCCCTCCCCAAAGCAAAAAGCAGATATCCAAAAGGTTCCTTAAATATCAGTAGTTGGGGATTATTGGTACCAGTCTTCCTCTGCCTTGTCTTTATAGCGGATAATCACGTTTTACTGTGGTATTCTTGCTTTTGACTTGCTTCCTTCTGTGTCACTTTCTTGACTAAATTGATTTAAATGAAATTTAGTCACTCTGCAAGGGTGTATGCGTTTTCTTTCCTTTTGTTTACTGATGTTTCATTAAAACTGCTAAGGCTTCCAGTGCTCCCCCAAACCTTTCTTGCTCACACACCTGTCTCCTCTTACCATTAGTGTGACAAAGAATATCCGTGTGTATGGTTCATTTATTCCCATTTTAGCAGAAAGAACCTGACTATGAGGATGGATAATGTTAAGTTTGAACCTGCAATGTCTATCAGTTAACTTAGACATAACAAACCGCTAGTATGTAAAGTGTGTGTTTTTAAGGTGGTTTGGGTTCCTAGACTGTCAGTTGCTTGAGACTCTTGAGGTGTGGCCTGCAGTGCCTGAGTGTGATGCCCCACTTGTCTTTTTGTATTTTTTCTAGTGCTACTGTCTAAGAGCTGGAGCTACAGAGCTTGAAATTACCACCGAAAAATACTGAAATGGTGGGCCCTTCACTACTTCCTCATAAGGATACCAGAGGCAACATGGCATATTAAGCATGACAGTTGGCAGATCACTGTGTAAATTATTTTGCAGGAGTACAGACTGAGGCACTTGAGTTCATCTGAACTTTGGGTTGAGCCTCACTTTGTTCATTGTCGGTTCCCTCCTCAGTCTTCATCTTGCTTCTTCACCTCTGGTTCCACCCAGTTAACCAAATACGGTTGACCCGCCCAGGTGCATGAAACCCTCATTGTGCACTCTTTTCCTCTCCTGTCAACGTTCCTCTGAACTTGAATATTTGTAACCTGAACCGTTCAAATAGGACTGCTATGCCCGTGCTGCCTTTCAGACCCGTTCAATGTCCTGTCACCTTCACAGCCGGCTCTTGCTGGGGTCAGCCTGTGAACTCGCCTGTGTTGGGGCAGTTACCCCCATCTGGGACTTCCCAGCCTGAGGGGCACGCAGAACAGGTGTCCGTCCGGGGCAGAGTGGCCAGGCTTGGGAAATCATCTCAACAGAGAACACGTAAAAAGAACTTGGCCCGTGGTTGGTTAACTTTACACACCACTTCAAGACTGGAAAAGGTCCTTATACTAAAATCCTGGCTGGCTATAAACCAGCCTCATGGAAAACAAAGGAACAGTGGCTTATACTGCAGAACAGTTTTTGGTTAAAACAAAGGAATATTTGATGGCACGGGGTTTTTGGTAAAGAAGATGAAGTCCTGCAGTAAAGGATAGAGCAGTAGAAAGGAAAGTATTTTAACCTGGGGAGTAGATAGTAAAAATGCTGACTCCTGAGTGCCCTAAGTGACGTCACCTAACTTCCATGGCCCTGTTTCCTCACCTCTAAAAACATGGGGAGTTTCAGATTTGACCATTTTGAACTCTGTGTGATAGATTAGGCATGACCTCTCTTGAAAGAAGTTTTCCCTGCGAGATGTACGGCAGAATATATCTTCCGATGTAACCAAATACCATTAAAGGTCATAACTGCTGCTGTGCACATTTTTCTAGAAATTTCTGCTCCTTGAATGATGTGTATTGGTATTTTTTTGTTTGTTTTATTCTCTTTCAAATAGGATGTTTACATTTGACTTATCCACATGTGTCCTGGAAACAAAAGTTTCTGCCCAGTACTTACGGGTTTATTTCGTGGCACACTTTTAAGGAGCGAGGCCGCAGGTGGGCTCCTGGGTACTCGGGAGACTGACAGAGGGAACTCCGCTCTGAGCAACTGTCCTCAGTGTCACCTTCAAAGCTGTGCAGACATAACTAGGCCATAATATTTAGAATCTTCATCAATCGCTCAGAGA